CATGCCCATGGCCGAGGGTTGGAACTGGATGATCTTAAGGTCCTTTCCAACCCAAACCATTCTATGATTCTATGAAATACTTCCTCTGCAGGAAATATGAAGACAAGACATCAGCTCCTAGGTGACATCCTTCTGACTTAAGACAGCTGATCATACACAAAGTATTACTGCTTAAGAACAGATCAGTACCATGTCCTTTGTATACCTCAGCTAGACTGATCACTTGCCTTTACATTCCCAAAGGAAAAGCCAAGAAAGTCTTAGAAAAGTTAACACTTTGTTTTATGCTTTAGGACACACCAATTCCTTTCACTCCAGCATCTTTAACAGTTGAAAGCTCATGAAAGCAACCTTCCTTAAAACTATTTTCCTTCAGAGGACAGTATAAGAAAACATGGAGATTCCAAACACCTCAAATAAAGGAAACATAAGTTGCTGACTCAGTGATCTCCAACCTCTGCTATTCTGGTAGCTACAAATTTTAATGGAGATATTCTTGTACATAATTGTAACAAAGGAAAGAAAGATCCAGATTACCCTAGCACGTTCTTCTCCAACAAACAGTTCTTGAACTGTGCTCCCCTACAGGTAGGGTGTGTAGTCTGCGGAGAACATTACTGCTAAGTCCTACACACAAGTGGAGAAAAAGAGTGAGCTCTCAGAAAGAGAAGACAACCAATGGATTGCCTTTCATCTCTTGCCCACTAAGTCTCAAGGTATGCTCATTCCCTACAGGCTTTTTCCACCTCCAGGCCCACCCACCCTGCACACTACTGCTCACTAGTTTCAAATTCCCCAAATCACTGCACTAGCAAATTTAACACATCTAATTTTAAACTATTTGTCTAACAGGACTCACTGTTAAAGACTTCAGATGTGTGTTGGAAAACACCATGTAGTTTTGTTAGATTATGTATTTCAAATGAATATAGGAATTGCCAAACTACATTAGGCAACTAGCCATTTAATTTCGTAACCCAGTGCATTCCTTGCAGCAGTAAATACCAGATGCTTCAAAGAAACACAAAAAAATCCTAAAGCTGACACTATGAAGGATCCCAACCATAAGAAAATTCCTCTGTTTTAAAGAATGCCTTGAAGCTACAATTAAATCAACATAAATATGAGCCATTCCCTAGAAGAGCAACACCAATCTCCCCTGCCCTCGTGTACTACAGCTAGCAATTGTGTGACCACAAAATGGGTTGATGCAGCAAGCTATTCCAACAGAAAACTGTTTATTTGGGTGGTGTTAGTGTTCCACTGGATTAGCCAACTCAACTCACATGAATGCCAGATCCTGCAAACAAGCAGAGAATTTGGTCAATCTTCTTTTGAATTAGATTAGTTTAGCTACAACATGAAAGCAAGCCAAGAGAGACATTAAGTCCTTACACAAGGCAAGCAGCTACAGAAAGGCTGGAAAGGGACAAGAAAACGGCTGCTCCATTCCACAGTAGATGATACCAGACCAGCTTAGCTTCAACAATTTAGATCTTAAGAAACAGACTACACTCACACGATATTTTGAGCCAGTTTAAATCAGAACAGCTGCAATATCACCCTCCACTTTTTTCCATACATGCATTCCTGTGCACCAATGTTGTACGTCTGGTTCAATACCCATTCCAACAGGTTAAGTCCACCAAAGCAGCAGAAAAATATTCACTGATTTATGCAGCTGGACTTCTCCACTTATTTTAACTTCACTTTTGCTTTGGACATCTCGAGTACTACTGCCAGTGTGCAAAGAAACAGGAAAGCATGGCTCGAGTAAGCAGTCACTTACCTAATTAAGGTAGAAACCATAGTTATTTTCAAAAACTATTTGTTCAACTTAACTATTTCCAAGCCCGTTTAAGCATAAATCAGTTTAACAGTTCCCTACTGAACTCAGAGGGAAAACTTCATTTCCACATCTTTTCACTTGCATTTACAATCATTTCTGGACTCATGCTGTGTTGAGTTATGTAACATAAATCTTGATGATCTAGCAGGATCATCATGTGGCCAGCAATACTGGGGCTGGGGGTGGCACCTGGGATGCTGGGTCACGCCAAGTTGTGGAAGGAACCAGCAGGGACTGCTGCGGCTACAGTGTTGCCCAGGAATCCAGCTGTGCATCCCATCCAGCTCTGTAGTACAGCAGAGTAACACCCCAAGGAGTCACAACTGCTGGGTCCACTGCCTGAAACAACCCTACCTCTCCCTTTCCCTTTGGCCAAGTCAGGTACGTGGCAAATATTCATTCTGTGACATACACAGATCTTTTAAGAGTCTGAGCATTGCAAAGTTCTTCATGTCTGCCATTAGCTCTGGGCTTGCATGATATTCACACCAATGTACTCTACTGTCAAGACATGTTACATACAAGGTACACAGCATGTAACTGGTGGAGGGGCCACACATCCCACTGTTCTGCTCCATTTTCCTAAGTCTGCAAGTGTCTTTTCCATTCTGCCTCTGTGAGCTAAATCATTTCAAGCTTTTTTATGTCCTGAATTTTCAGACTCCAAAAACCAGTCATGCTCCTGACAGTCAGCAAGTCCATGAAGAAGTATCCCCGGTTATGCCATCTACAGAAATACCACATTTGTAAAGTTTTAAACAGCATCAACTTGACTTTGTAAAGTTAATGTTCTTTGTACAATTTATTTGAGAAACTACCTAGGTTTTGAAGGACAAAAAAATGCTCTAATCTCAAGTGTATGTGAAAACCTCCAATACCACCTATTACTGGCAGAGCCCTGTATTGCTAAGCTTTCAACACAAATTATGGTTGAACTGGAAGCAAAAGCAGGTTATTATCCACTGAAGATATATTCTTTTCTTCAACTTTACTCAATCTGGATCCCTCACACAACAGTAGATAACAGGAAGGGTAGAGAATGCACTACCTCCTGGATTTTGTTCCAGGACATCCTTTCCTAGGCCAACTGAGGACTTTTAACAAGGAAAATAAAACACAATACTTTTGCTTGTGTACTCCATCAGAACTCTGCATCAAAAAATGCAGGCAAGCGCTAAGAAAACTAGAAAAATAAGAGGGAAGATTCTTGATTCTTCCGTCTCCAAGAGAAAGAACTGTTTCATATATGACAACTCCTACATCCCACCCCAAAAAGATCACAATTAGGTCAGATTACTTCTAAGGAAATTTCTACCCACAATCTTTCAGCATTTTTATCTTTCTCCTTTTCAAAAGGTCAGTTATTCAAACATAGTCTGAATGAACAGTTTGTAGGAAAAAATTTTCTTTTTTAATATTCTCTTCCTAGTCATTTCCCTTATTTTTGTCATTCTTGTAACTACACATTCCTCAGGATTGGTTTTCCAACTTGCATACTTTATTTCTTGCAACAGATGCAGCATTAGGAGACATTAAATAGAAGAGAGAATAAAGGCCCATAATTCATGCTTGCGGCATTTAATTTCAAAAAAAAAAAAAAAAGGCAGAAAACACACCACCAAGAAATAAACACACTACTGAAATGCTGAAGGACCAATTCTGCATCTTAGAGGCTGCAGCTATAGTTCTGGAGGGCTGCCTTCACAGAACATGCTGTCCTAAGGCCAGCACACTCTGAACAGTAAGATATTCAGACTTTCTGACAGTAAGCTGCCTTGATTTGAACACATCCTACAGAATCTCAAGAACAAAGTTTTTTCTCTGAGTCAGTTTTAAGACTTCCCTCCAATGTCGATTCCCCAATAAGGAATAAGGTATAAGAACACACAGCAACCTCTCTTCAGGGCTGAGGGTACTTTTATGTTTTCTCCCCACAAAGAATTACTCTAATACTCTAATTCAGAAATTTAATCTTTCCCTGGAGTTCCACTGGTTTGTTTTGGGTTTTTTTTTACAGATATATGAGGACGATAAATGGAAGTAAAGGTACAAAACAACACTGAAGTCTCCTTCTTTTAGGAAATCCAAATTAAAGACTTGGGAAAATATGATAGTGTTACACAGCTTGGCATTCTTCCCATAACATAAGCTTACTTTCTACAGAATCATCTTATTTAACTTTCCTAACACATTTTAATATCTTTTTCCTTCTAATCACCACAGAAAAAAAAAAGCTAATAGTAAAACAGAACAGAAACCTTACAATTTAGTTTAAAACGCTCTAAGTTGTTGTTAACGGGACAATTTTTCTGATGTACATACTTTGTTTTCCAGACCCATTCTTTTTGGGCATATACGTTACTGTATCTAGCAGCATAGAATCAGAGAGTGGTTTGAGTTGGAAAGAACCTTAAGATCATCCAGTTCCAACGACCCTGCAATGGGCAGGAACACCTCACAGTAGACCATGTTGCCCAAGGCTCTGTCCAACCCGGCCTTGAACACTGCCAGGGATGGAGCATTCACCAGCTCTTTGGGCAGCCTGTTCCAGTGCTTCACCACCCTCACAGTGAAGAGCTTCTTCCTTATATCTAACCTGAACTTTCCCTGTTTCAGTTTGAACCCATCACCCCTTGTCCTACTGCTACAGTCCCTGATAAACAGTACTGCTTTAGTTATGTCACCTTATTATCTCCAGCTCCATGACAACTGGTACTGTTCATTGAAAATTCCTTTTCATTTCAAATATGTTTGCTACCTTGAATTCAGAAAACAAACAGAAGAAAAAAGTCCTCCTGAAACTCTTAAATGTGACCTACAAACTTCAAGTACCTACGCAAAAAGATGAAACACCATAATTTCTTCTTAATTCAGAGGTTCTTATCCTGGAATCAATACACTAAAGCAACCCTCCTCTATGTCCTACAAAGGAAAGGCAAAAATAGTTCTAATGTGAATTAGCAAAGTTAATTATATTTGATTATCACAATAAATGTTAAAGAATATGATGTCATCTAGATCTACATGAATTAGGACATGTATGGTATTCTGGCACACAAGAAATTCATTACTGAAGAGTACAGATGCTCCATTTTACAATCTTTTTTCCAAGTAGCCTTTCAGCACATTCCCAGCCTTATCTCATTCTCACCGAGATTTCCATCCTCAATGGTCAGCACCACTTCATCCATCACCAAGGCCCGGAAATCTAGCTCCTCTTCACAGCACTTGGCCTTCAGTGCTCTCAGGATCTCCTGCTGAGGGTAATCTTCTCTGATGCGACGGTCTGTTAAGAACCACAGCCTGGGAGCAACTGAACTGCACATCTTGGAGCTGTCTTGCAACCTTCAAGGTCTCCTTTCAATGGAACTTCTAAATGGTGGAGAAGATGAGACTCTGTTAGAGTACACAGGCTCCTATCTTCATATTCCCCACTGTACCAGGTCCTACTCCCTCTGCACCAGTCCTTTTCCATGGAGTGCAACTTCCAACCTCCAAGTGGGAAAATAATGTCTACGCCTAACCTGCAGCAGAAGCAGCAACAGGAACAAATCCATTTACATTCAATGGAATGTAAATGCTAGAAATCAGGTCTTGAACGTCATGCTAGTTTCATCCACAAGTACACACTTGACATAAATAGTAGCACCCCGCTTTCTCAACAGCACTAAGGGGCATACCAAGAACTGAAAACGTATGGATGGCCATCTCTGAAGGCCAGAATTTCAACTTCATGACTGGGGTAATTCCTTACAAATGGAAATAACTCAGCCCCTCCTACCGAGGCACCGCTAAAACACCAGTGACAGACTTAGTGTATCCCTATCCACCATATACAGAAGACAACAGAGTGTGCCAAATCCTCTATTTTAAAAGAGCAGTCTTGAACAAGAAGAAACCCATTAAAACAATATTTTCCACGTCAGTATTTCAAGACTGATTTGATCTTACAATTACTTCATACCCATTGTACTATCCATAATATATTACTGGGAAGAAAAAAAAAAAAAAAGAAAAATAAAACCACACAAAACCCCCTCAATGGAACAAGGGGAATCAACAAAGTATTAAGAATACCCAACATGGAACCTAAAGCAAAATCAAGGTTTGAGTATCAGTGCTAGCCCTTTCTTGCTCCTTTTTTTCTTTTATATCAGTTTTATATACATAAATAGCAGCAGGAAAAATTCAGCACCAAAACTAGAAAAAAACCCCAAACAGTTCAAACTGAAGAATTTCAATTACAATGGCACCAGAAGTGATAACAGCAAGGTACTGCTCCTTTTGCTTTGAATACAGGGCACCTCGACTATTTTTGACTGTATACTAAAATACTTTAAAAGCTGCTAAACAATTACAATTATTGTTAATGGAATACTCATCTACACTCAAGAGAAACAAGCAGCATGGTGTGGGTAAAATGAACTGTGGAGAAAAACAGCTGTTTTCTGCAACACATTTTAAACTTTCATATTAAAACAGAGATAGAAATCATTGTTTTCACCAACAGAGCTTACATGAGTTTCAAACAAAACTGAAGGCTAGGACAGAAACGGGAGCTCTGCCCAGTAGTCCTAGTGACAGGACCTGTTGTCAACAGAAAATGCAAATGCAGAAAGACCAGAAGTATACAACTTCTTTCATCTCATACCACAAAGAATTTCATTTTTCGTAGCAGGTCTTAGAACAAAAGTATTACTTTGCTACTTATAAGAATGAGCTGATTCTGTTATTATTGCTAGCATTATTATTTTTAAAACAAGTTTCTTCTACTAGCACAGCTTATTCTGAAGGAGATACATTTTTAAATGGACATTTTTATTCCTAGTACTGAGAACCATGACAATAAGCAAACTTTTTTCCCATTGCTTTGGTAAATGAACAGCAACAATATAAAGCCAAGGACTGAAGTTCTTCATTGTAAGAGCTTGAAAGAAAGCAGAAGCTATGGAAAGGCAATCCCAGATGCAGACCAGCCCTTGACAGCGGTCAAGATGCTCAAGGTAAAGCAGGAAAAACTGTTTGCTCCCTGCAGGAAAATGGGTAATGGAGGCTGTAAGAAGTACTTTTGAGATCTCAAAGAACCCCCTTTTTCTTCAAAGCAGCTAAAAGTGAAAAGGGCAAGCTGAGGCTTGGGCTTGCAATGGCTGACAACTATAAGATCCCGCCCCACTTCCAGCTCTCTCAACCATGGCTTTCTCTCCATGGTACGTTACAGAAAGCTTCCTGGGACAACATCTTCAGCCAAGAATCAGGACAAAATATCTTTTCCAGAAATGGCACTGCTATGGCACAGTTCAGAAAGCTTCTTGTCCATTTATTTCGGCTATCTGCATGAATGACTGGGGAGACCAAACAGCCCCACCTACCGCCTCTCTTCTGAAAAGCAGCTCCACTTAATAGGCTGGCCCACCTTGGTTTGAGTAACAGCTATAGAACATGGAGTACACGAAAAAAAAATACATCTGACAGACAGATATAATTAAAAAATAATAATAATCACAAAACATTACGTATTTTCAGCCTGTTTGGGGTTTTGATTTGTTGTTTGGTGATGGGGGAAGGTTTCTGTGCTCACTACTGTTTCTAACACGGGTGCAAAGAAACAAGTATTTTCTCTCCAGCAGCCTTCTCCCCCTATTTTTGCTTGCTCCCAAACCTTAATTTCTTTGCCAACAGCGATCTGTTCACATTTTTCTCAAATATCTTTTCTACATAGCTCCACCTCCACTCCCTTGAATCTGCAGAGACTGTTCCATCATCTGCCCTGACTGCCACTATCAGCAGTGATTTCCTGAAAATCAGCAAAGGATTGAGGAAGAAAGAAAGTACACCCTTTTCTATCCTCCATCTTTCTGCTATTTTTAAAGGAGCTATAGCATCATCAAGAACCATGCAGATATCTCAATCAGCACATTAAACCAAGCAGGCACATAAAAACACCTTGGGTATGGGCATACATCTCCCTCCTAATGCTACGTCTCATCTCCTCTAAATCTAAGTTTTATAAGTGTGTATAAAAAGGCTCACACCTCATCATGAGGCAGGAAGGTAGCAACCTCAAGTATGAAGGTAAAGATTAAAAAACTCACCTTAGATGAAGCTACAAGCAGAGGCAGAAACCAGTAATTCTAACTATCAGTTCCCTGACCTCCAACCCAATACATTTTTTTTCCACCTGGAGAAATACCCTTTCACACCAACGTTCTGCTCCTAAAACCAGAATCTACATAACAGTTTCAACCTCTCCTTATAATCTCTGTTTTGATTGTGTAAGAAGTCTCACAGAACACAAAACCTGCAATTTACCCTATTAACCCAAATATCTTAATCCCTCCCACATTCTCAAGCACACTGTCTGTAGGAGGACAGCTTGCCTTGCCGTCAGATGCACAAGAACATTAAGCTCTCAAGTCGGATACGATTTCCAGAATTTTTCCCTGAAAGCCAACTCCACCAATTTCAATCCAAAAGACATAGCCGCAGACAATGCTGGGTGTGCATGGAATACTTCCTAACCCATGAACGCATCTATTGCAAAGTAAGTATAGTAGATATAAGGGGAAGAGCAGATGTCTAAATGTCTTCAAGATGACCAGCTGAAATGCAGTTTCACGTAAAGCTAGTATAATCAATGTAAGTACCATCTTTCAATAACTATTTAATAGACATATGAAACTAAAATGAAAAAAAATCATGTTAGACTGGGACAGGTAAAGTGGCAGCAAAGTAAAAGCTCTATGGTCAAAATTAAACTGTCAGCCAAGCCAAGCAGACACAACTACATCTTCTTCACAAAGACTGTGTGGAACAATTTATTCCCTCTATAAATTGCTGAAGCTTTAGCAATTTATACAGGGAATGCAACTCACCCCAGCTTTCAGCTGTGGCATCCCTGTACTACTTAAGCTAAGCTTTAGACTGGTATTCACACAGCAGCTTCCTCTGCTCCCCATCACATGCAAATATATTTTCTTCCACACTCCTTGAATGTGCAACACACCTTTTGCACCTGTCCTAACAAAAACACTCACTCTGCTACTTTTCTACTTGACATCATATACAAATACATTTGGTTGACATAACAAGGAATTCATCCAAGCAGATCAGCTGTCTAGAGAACTGGAAATCTCTGAACATAACTCTTTTTCCTTTGAAGGGGTCTCTTCTTCACAGAGAGCCTTTCAGACCTGCCTGCAGGAATGGGATACTGGTCTCTTTTGCACATTTACTCCTTGTCCTCTCCTCAACACCCAAAAGCAGGAGAAAAATTGACTAGTCTCTTTTTCTTTTTCATCATGATGTATTTTCCCCTAAACTGAAACAAGAAACCAGTTATTAGGAGATAATAATTAATGTATGTATTAATGATAAATGTGTACCATAAAAGATACCTAGTACACAAAAATATTATACCCTTTCTATTCAGAATTCAACTACTCAATGCCTCTCTAAATTAAAAAGTCTAGGTTGTCTCTGTCCTATGGGAACCATGAATGGAATCCCAGATGTTTTTTCAGCATTAGGAATCGATGTGACCTGGCTATCTCAAATGCTCAACTTGTGATCGGATGTTATAGTACACTCCCATTGACTATCCCAGATTGCACTGATCCCAGTGCAATCTGGGAATCAAGTTAGTGGAACAATTATTACTATCAGCCCCTCCCAGAATCGTTTCTTTTTTCAGATCTCGGCTTAAACTCTCAGCCTCAGTTATAGCACTATGTAGCTAACACAACTCTATGGATTTCAGCAGTTAATAGAGAAATAAAACCTAATCTTAGCTTTCGCACACCTCTAGGCATATTTAATCCCTACAGCTCAGGTGATGATAATAAAAATCTCACAGAAGTGAGAAGGAAAGAGCAAAGAGCCTGACAGTCATGATTGCCATGGGAAATTGAGAACTAGGAAAAATAAGCTCTAAGCACTCACCTCACTACAAATAACACTGCACCTTCTTACATATCATTAATGCATATCCCTTAATACTTCTTTCCAGAACACTTAAGCTGGAAAAGGTATTTTGTTTTCCTTTTAATCATAAATTTGCTAAAGCTTGAAACAGAGTACACACCTTCAGTAAACCAATTGTCTCTACCATTGCAGCAGTTTCTAGAATCCTACTTTGGAGGCCACACCTCATGATGCTGAAGACCTAAGGACAGTTGGCAGATGCTCATAAGTTACCTCTTTCAGGAGATATCTCAAGGCAAATCTGAATTACAAAGCCAATTCTAGGTAGCAGACCGGTCAAACAGCTAACGAAGGCTCTGGCATATGACCCTGCGTATGATCCATTATACGCCGTCATGGAAGCCTCTGTCTCATCTTAATGAAAGCAGCGCTTGAAACAACCCAGAAAATCTGACTATGTCATAGGGAGACCAGGCCTGAAAACAGTTCACAGCTGTTTCAAGTATAAAGCACAATTAATATTTATCACACAAAGATACCAGAATGATGATCACTTAAAGAAAACCTAAAGGAAATATGCATATAACTCATTGAGGAATATAACCCATGGCAATATATACAGATAAAAAACTAACATCTTGAACCACTTGTTCAATTTGCTTTAGAAAAATAAATCCAAGGTAAGCCAACTCCTTCCTGACACTGCTGCTTCATGGCAATGCTTAAGTACAACCTCAAGAAAAATCCCTCTCTTACCTACCAGAGATCAGTTTTCCCAAGCCTGTCATATAACCATTTGAGAATCTTTGGAAATAATACATTTTTAAAAGCTGAAGAATATGAAAAATTAAAGTATCTCTTTGAATGCGTTTTATGTAATAAATTGAGCAGCTGCAGCGCAATCTGTCCAGCACTGCTGCATTATCATCCGCCCTCTACACATGCTTCATAGAATTTAAAGTCACTGCAGGCAGGTGAACCTCAAGCACACCTCTTTGAAAGCGTGTCACAGCATCTACCTCCTTTTCAGTATGAGATTTTAGACTGCAACAATCACGGGATATGGGAATATGTTAATCGTTCCCATTCATTCCCAGTACAACCCTCCACATCGGCAGACAGGCAACTGCACTCCCTGATGGCTTTCATCTGCTTGTCCCCACCTCTGCACTGAGTGATGCTAAAGATGTTAGCTGGAAACCTTCCAGGCACAACTGCCTCAAAAGGCAGAGATCCACACCCCCAGTCTTTCCTCCTCTAGGTTCATGCTTACAAGTAGGTGATAACATGCCCCATTCACACACCCCAGCTCCTGATCTCCAGTGAATCATCCATTCGCTCTAGCCCCATACTGGTCAGCATCACCTCTCCTGCTTCTGCCTTGGTGGCTTTCTCCCCCTGCAACAAGCTCTCAGCTTTTTCACCTCGCTCCACTCTGCCTGTGCATGCAAATAAAACATACATTTCCTCCCACACCAGCTCCTTCTCTGAAGGGAGGCTCTTCTACCTCTGCCCAGGTTCCCCTGCAATGTGGCACAATACCCCCCCGCTTCTCTGCTTCCCCCCAACCCGATCTGTGTGTATACAGGCAGTTCTCCCTCCCCCCTTTCCCCACCCCCTCTCTGTCTCTGTGCCTCTCCTAGCGCCTGGCGTGGGGGAAGGGAAACATGCACTGCATGAATGAATGGGCCGAAGAGACTTACCAGAAATTGCGTGAGGAGAAGTGTGGAAAATGAGAAGGACACCAAAGATGGGTGCTTCCTCCTTCCAGCGTGCCAAGTGCTGCTTCAGTTGTGGCTCCCTTCACAAGGTCACGTGTCCTCCTAGGTACCCCTTTCCCTGGATCCTCTACTAACCACAAAGGGTTGCAGGGCAGTCTTCTGGATGCCTCTCTGCACTCTGGAGGGAAGGGTACTACTGAGGCTCCCAAAGCAAGCAAAGTCCTATAACGTGCAACGTATAGCGGACGCCTCAGGTAACAAGGGAGACTTCTGAGGGGAGGAAGGGCGAGTAATGGCTGTTAAATTAACTCCCAAATTGTCTTCCCCTATGGGAGAAGAGGGACGGGAAGGAGGGAAGAGTGTACTGGTGAAGCGCTGTAGCTTTCTATGTAAAATAAACTGAATCCTCGTGTCTCTTACTTGCTCAGAACTGAGCCCCTAAATGTCTCTGAAGTCACAAACACCTAGGAAGGAAAAAGGGGAGAAAAATCTCAATTAAGACATAAACTAACATACAAAGGTATCTAATAAACTAAATCCCACCGGAAAAAAAAAGGTGCCGTACAACACAGTAAGCAAGGCCAAAAGAACGCAATTTTGCGAAACATACAATTTTAAATGATTTACAGAAATGTACTACCACAGAAGCCCGTTTTAAGAGGGAAAAAAAGGTTAAGCAGTTTATTCCTTAACTGAAGGCTGTGGGCTCGAAGGAAAGTTAAATCTGCGCCTACATGTGAACGTAAGAAGAAATTCAAGTTTTAAAACCTTCAAAAACTATTTCTATTTATTTGCATGAGTCTTTAAACCCCTCATCCAGAATAACATTCAGAATTCAGATGAGGAGACTAGAGAAAAGTACGTTTCAGGTAAGAAGCATACACCCCTAGGCATGAGACCCCACTCCGCCATAGAAAATAAACTGTCGCTTATAAAGGGCGACCAAAACGAAAAGCCAAAATAACACGTCTAGAGGATGCTTAATCAAAGATTAACAGTCGCACACTTGGAGGCCCCGGTAAATCAGTTAAGTCACCGATGTGCCATGAGCTCTTTAAACATCAGAAAACAAAAGAGAAGAAACCCAGCTGAAAGATTTCGTTCCAAGACTCGGCAGCGCACACACACACACATACACACACACCCTGCGTCACGGGCAGAAATTGCCCCCAACAACCGCAGACCCCCACGTTCACGGGAGCCGTTTTCCACCCCGTTTCCGCGGCGGCTTTGCACACAGACCGAACGCGTGTGAGCGCGCAAGCGGCGCGCAAGGCGGGAGCTGACACCCGCGGCGCACTCGCAGCGCTCCGCCCGAGCGCGACCCGCCCGCGGAACGCCATGGGCGAGGCGGCAGCACTACGAGGAGCCGCCGCCCGCCCTTCTGCCCGTGCCCCCGTCGCGCACGCCGAGCGGCCGCCGCCTGCATACACACACACACCCCCCCCACACACCACCACCATCAGCCCCGAAGCGGCCGCGGCTGCCACCCACCTGGGCGCCCCGGCTGTCCGGCCCGCACGGGGCGGCGGGAAGGCGCCGAGATGCACAATCACCATGGGCGCAGCGCGGCGGCGGGGCGGGACGGCTGAGAGGACAGTCCCAACCCCCCCAACACACACACTCCTTCCCGCCTGCCCCCTCCCCGGGCACGGCGAACCCCACCCCCGGGCTCGCACCCGCTCAGCCCGACATCTCACCCGCCCCGGGCACCGCCGAGCCCGAAACCGAGGGGACCCGCGCGCCCCGCCGGCGCCCCCCTCCCCTTCCCGCCGGCACCGGGCCTAGGAAGGGAAGCCGCGGGGCGAAGAAGGCTCCGAAGAGACTCGCCCCTTCCTCCCCGCCGGCGGCAGTCGCTCGGCGGCGCGCTCCTAAAGGGGAGCGGGCGACGCCACACGACGCTCCGCTCAGCCCCCACCCCCCCTCCCGCTCTCCGCGTCCCTCCTCCCGGCGGCTGGGGTGAGGCAGGCGGCTGTTCCCTGCACCGAGACCCCCGCCCCCCGCCACCGCCGCTCCAGCCACAGCGCGGGCACCGCCGCCTCCTCCCGCGCTCCCTCCCGCCGCTTGACTGGAGCGGCGCCGCTAACGGCCGAGAGCGGCTGGCACGCGCTGCCGAGGCGAGGGGAGGGGAGGGGAAGCGAGGCGGGCGCCCGGCTCCGCGGTGGGTGGGGCGGCCGCGGGGAAGCGCGCGAGGGCGGCGGCGGCGGGGGCGCGCTCCCGCTTGGTACCCGCCGCCGCGCGCTGCTCCGGCGTGGGTGTGGGGTGGGGTGGGGCGACCCAACCGGACCGAAGCGGTGGCCGTGCGCCACCGCACGCACGCTGAGGGTGCCTCTACGGCACGGGCGGGCTCTCCCGCCAGCCCGCTGCGGCGGGACGCGCGAAGCCGGAACCTTTGTCCTTCGTGTGACAGGTACCGGCGTGACGCGCCCCACGCGCCACCTGCCACGCACCGTCACGTGCCCCGCGCGCCGCCGGGGCCGTGCCGCCCCTCGCTGCTGTCGTTCCGCTAACATAATGGCTGCTGGCGACGGAGCGGTGCTCCCCTCCCGTGTGTTATTAACCAGCGCGTTTCCTTCCGTGCGCCGGTGGCACACCGGCCACTCTTCTCCACGCTTCACCGTTTCTGTTCACCGCATCGCGTTAGCTGCGTATCCCACGGGGATTCCTGTGGGAATTTCTCCTTCTCCAGCCTTCCTAACCTCGAGATTCTGTGCCCCAGGCGAACAGCCTCTGTCCCTGCCCGTGGCAGAGGGCTTGAACTGTATGATTGTTAAAGTTCCTTCCAACCCAACCCATTCAGTAATTCTGTCTTCCTCAACAACCAGTGTTACAGCTTTGCAAATACGGAACATACCCACTCGGTCATGTCTGATATCCCCAGACCTCGTGTCTTCTGTCTCTCCAGCATGTGGTGGATCTCTCCTAGCATTCTTAGTTCTTTCACCTTAACGACACTCTACATACCCTTGCCTTCAAGTGTAGGTCATCTACACATGACACATACATACATGACAGGCTCCAGAGCCTGTGGTTGCAAGGTAAAGATCATCCAAACCTTCCATGTGGTACCCCTGATATTTGACTGGCATGATGGGACTGATTCCCACAGTAGTAACCCTACACATTACAATACAGAATGCCCTAAAATCTGCCTCAGTGTTTATCCATTCATACTGCAGAGCGATGTACCGTGGTATCCTACGCTCCACCTTCGGTACACCTTCTGTAAAGCCATAGCTGATAGTTAAAATGAAACGCAAACATCACTAAGCGTTTCTAAGGCTGACTTTACTGTGTTTGTTCATTTGGTCCTGCAAACATCTGGGTCCTACTCCCCAACCGCAGGTGCGATTCATAAAGCTCTTTCAGAAAAGCATGAGGCAAGGCTGCCTCAAAGATGCTGTCAACCTTGTGTAATGTGAGATGTCCCTACCCATGGCAGGGGGGTTGCAACTGGATGAGCTTTAACGTCCCTTCCAACCCAAACCATTCCATAATGCTATGATTCTGTGATGTCAATGGCCAAAATCCCTGTTTACCCAGGCATCATCCGATGCTCTCCCACCTGCTGGGGCTGTTCGCCAAGCCTTCTGGCTTTTCATGGCTGCAAGCCAGAGACAACTGCTGGATTCCAGGTTCTCGTCCACCCCACCCTATACAACAGCATAGGGAAAAATACACCATCACTCGCTTAAATGCCAACTCAAAGTACAACTTAAGAGCAGGAGGCAGGTCATTGGCAAGTCTCAGCAAGCTAAATAAAAACTAAATAAATTACTCCAAAATGCTGGACAGTATTTTTGTTACTTTGATTGTTACAAAACAATACCACCTTTGACAGAATTACTGCATCCCAGAGCTTCTGGAGTAGAGTTCCCATGTGCAGAGTTCACACTTCTGACAGTTGTAATTTCAGATTGTGAGGTGCACAGGTTTGTTTACACAGGGAATTTACTAACAGGAAGCTACTGTGGCACCACTGCTCAGCTGAACTGTGCAACCACTGCACAGCATCTAGCACACACACACGTTTCAGAGCAAGAATTCTTCTGGAACCGTGTATGCTGTTTTAAGGTAGTATAAAGCAAAGAAGAAAGAAAATGCCCACATGTAGTATGTATATAGTTGTAACTACATATAATAGTGATATAATAATAGCAAATGTTTATTATTATTTTTACAAGGGCCTGTAGGGACAGGAGAAGGGGTAATGGCTTTAACCTGAACAGAGGGGAAATTGAGATGAGGGTTTAGGAAGTTCTTCCCTGGCAGGGCAGTGAGACTCTGGCACAGGTTGCCCAGAGAAGCTGTGGCTGCCCCATCCCTGGCAGTGTTCAAGGCCAGGTTGGATGGGGCTTGGAGCAACCTGGTCTAGTGGAAGGTGTCCCTGCCTGTGGCAGGGGGTTTGGAACTGTGTGAGCTTTAAGGTCCCTTCCAACCCAAAACTTCCTGTGATTCTATCGTTATCAGTGAGCATTGATTCCACCAACTACCATTTGCCTTCCTTACTCTCTCACATGCAAAATGGAGCCTTGCATCTTTTTTTTTTTTTTTTTTTTGCTGTTTGTGGAGCTGCTAGAGCTGTAGCACATTGGACCTCAGTACAAACTCTGAGTATTGAAGTGAGCAATGATCTGAGTCCACTGAAAGAGCAGGTTGGATGACCCCTACCTCTAGAACATCTTTCCACCGTCCAAAAGCACCGCTCAGTTTGGAGAGAGCCCTCAAAGCCTTTTGCTATTTCTTAGAAAGGCAGAGCAGGGCAAAATGATGATTTATTGCTCAGGACATCCCCACCCAGGACATATCCACAACTGCAGCAGCTTTTGAGTTATAAAGAGTTGCCACTGCAGTCAAGTTGTATGTAGATGTTACACTTCCCTAGGCAAGTCTTCATTCTTTTAATCTCTAATTTTTTCTACTCTGTATGCCAGTGAATGTGAGGTCTCTCCTGTCACCTACAGATCTATTCTCATCAGGCCAGAATTCTCACAAAGAGAGTATTGGCTACTGCCCCGGGCATCAATGGTCCAGAGTACCAAGTTTCACCCTTTGGGAAAATGATGTAATTGTAGTATCAGCAAAGAATGGGCGCCTCTGAAGACTGAACATTCCTGGCACCTTCTTTTGAGATTTTTCCCATGCACTCTGAAATGCATAATGTAAGGACTGGTCCAAACCCTTAATGTATGCAAAATCTGATTTCACGGTTGATTCCATGAAGCATCTTTTGTCACTGCGTTCACTAAAAATGCAAACCAGCCATTCAGTCATTACTCTGTTATTACGCACATCAGAAAGTTTGCTATGCTTTCTCTGGTTGGGTGTATGTGCTTGTGGAGGAAAAATGCTGCAAAGTCCAGTCTTCAAATGTTGCTAAGCCTCATTATTTGTATGAATTTGCCTGCGTGCTGCTGCTGCTGCAGTAGCTACTCATGCAGTCAGTTAAGTCTCACAGCGATGTTTCTGCTCCCCACTTGGGTGACTGAGTGATAAAAAATGTAAGGCAAGGTAAGTGCCTGTGCTCACACATGAATGCTTGGGTTCACATATGAACACAGATGGTCCCATGGAAGGAAACAAATTCTGGATTGTGTTTCAATGAGAAAATGGCCGTATCATTCTTGTTCCACACTATGTAAAATGAGAACTATGAGAAATCATCTTTAATTTCACCCAGCCTCCGTTTACTTGCTGGTTCTGACTGCTATACCAATTCCTGTTCTGGATAAACAGACATAAGGTAGTGGACAATGACTGCCAACACAGAGGACTCACAGCTAAAGAGGTCAGCGGGAAATTCCACGTTTCACTTACTCAACCCCAAAAGCATTTTGACCCAGCACCATGAGCGACTCCAGTCTCATCAGACAGCTGCTCGGGGCTCATCTCTTGGAGGCTGTAACACCCACCACATGTTCCCCATCCCCAACATGGCACCGGAGCTTGCCAACGTTTTGGGGGGGGGGGGGGGGGGGTTGTGGTCACGGCGGGAAGGCCGAAGGGTCCGCCGCACGTGCGGTGCGACCACCAGCACCCTCACACCCCACATGCGTACCGCTGCCCCGGGCAGGAGGGGCGGTGGCGGGTCCGGGTCCGGGTCGCTCAGCCCCGCCTGCTGCGGCCCGCGCCCAGCAGCAGCCGGCTGGAACCGGCGGCAGCAGCGAGGTGCGTGCAGCCAGCGCGGCTGCCAGCGCCGCCATCCCGCCCGGCCGCGGTCCCTTCTCCCTCGGCGGGAGACACGGGGTGCGGGAATGGGGCTCCGGGCGGCTGCAGCCCCCCGCGGGACGGAGCGATCCTGCTGCGGGGTCACGCACGGGCAGGCGCAATGCGCGACCGTCCGTTTCCTGTGCCTGGCGGTGGGAAGGGCGGGAACAGGCGGCTGGGGCGAGGAATAATCCTTATGGTGGGAATGCTGTGATAACATAAAGGAAGAGAGGTCTGTGCAGGTGGTGGCATGCAGGGGTGAGAATCCCCTTGTTCACTTGAAAGGAGGACTGCAAAGGCTCGGGACACAATCCCGCCAGAAGAAAAGGGCTCGCAGGGGCATTGCAGGACTTTTCCTGCCAGACAGCAAGCGTTCGGGGACACGTGGAGGAGAGCACGCATCTCATTGAATAGGTAACTTTGAAGAAGGTCAGAGGCTTCTGCTGTCCTTATTCCGGGCACAGTTTGAGAACCGAGAGACACAAAGAAGCTCAGGCAGGCAGAGTTACAAACAGAAACAAAGGGATGGATGAATAGCAGCTGGGAGGCTTCAAAGGCCAGTGTGTAACAGCAGCTCCCACTTCCAGAAGACAGGAGTGCATTTCTCCCTGCTAAGTTGCAGTTATGCTGCAGCGAAATAGGGAACAGTACTGAGGAGCTGGACAAAGGAAAAATGTGGTTCTGGTGGAAACAGTCATTTGCAAGAAAAAAGCTTCCTTCTGTCCCCCTTCTGCCT